ATACTGCATTAATTTTTTTTGAAATAACATACTGCAATCTGCAGTGTGTATTCCTATTGTATAATTTGTTTTGCTTCTTATGACTTAGTTACCTGCGGGCGCCCATGTTCACCTTCTCATTTTTTTTCCTAATTTTATCATAATTGATTTGATTTACAATGTCTTAACCTGGTTTCATTTTATCTTTTATTTATTTATAGACTGCAGTATGTTGGGTGCCCAAGTCCTTTTTTTAGTAAGTGACAAGTGTGCATTATGAAATGTGTTTACCCCGTTAACCGTTAGAAGGTAGTTTTTTCGTGAGTTTAAATGGATCTAAGAGCTGTGGATTAGGGTGTTTGTGATACGGTACTTATGACCTATTTTGAATTGTGTGTAACCACTTTCTAGTTTCTTYCGCAAACAGAATAGGTAGGTAACTATACTACCTACACTGTACATGAACTGTATGTAGTTTTGTACACATTTGTTTTTCAATATTTATCACTTCAGTTATTTTTCCAATTTTATTTGTTCTTATACATATACATAAATACATAATTCACTGCTCAACAAATTTTGTTCGTGTGAACATTTTAAAACAATTATTAATATTCAATTATCTTCTTACAGACTATTGTATTAACCGGCGATCTTTAAGTATAAATATATTGATATCTTTCCGATCCAGTTGATATAGTATAAAATAAATGTATAATGATTAATGACCCATAACTTATCATATTCGTTTGTTCTCATTTTTAAGTTGATTATTTAATTATCTATCAGTTTTTTACGTTAACTGCTCTTTTTAACGAATAATAAACTCAAATCATTTTCTTAATACCTTTAAATTTATATTGCTTTAATTCGTACCTATACTGTTTCCCTAATTAATAAATAAATTAAGAAAAATTAAAAATTTTAATGTACCTATTGGTGCAATAGTTTTTAGTGTTTAATTCATAATAATCATAATTGACTGATGTCTCTAGCCATTAATTGAATCATTTACATATTTTCCTTTACGTTCCTCTTTCAATATGGCTTTTTCAGTTAAGATTCTGAATATTGTAAACTATAGTCTGTATAGTATGTGTTTGTACTGTAGAATTGTACCTGATATTTGATTTTGGATTTTTAAAATGCGTTTGGTTAGTTTCCCTTTCCTTTTTTATTCTATTCATTTAAATCTATAGTTATTTTTTTACYATTAGGAGTCGTCACAGTTCCTTAAAAGTCAACATTTCCGTTAATTTATTTAAAATAAAAAGTTGTATAAATTATAAATTTGTTAATTTTATCAGTTTAATTATTTTAAAAGTTTCTAAGAACTTTTCATTTTGATCTTACATAACTATGAATCCATTTCGCTATCAGAAACCACCATAAAAATTGAAAATCTATGCATTTTTTTACTGCTGTACCTATATTTATTTTTCATCTCCCGTGTGGTACATCAGGCATTAAACACACAGCCCGACCATTTTTATCTTAACGGCCCACGGCCCACGGCCCACGCCCCACGGTTACCATCTAAAATGTGCAATTTAATTATTGTATAAAAAATAAATGTATGAAAAAAAAAATTTTACAATTTTCATTTTGCGTTAAAAATCACTAATCACCGCCGTCATGTTAAAGAGAGGTAATATATCTACATTTTTTGCCTTATCTCTGATAAACTGTCGTAACACYAAAAAGAAGAATTATAAATATATATATTTTTTTTTGTAAATTAAATTCAAATAATAAATATAATAATAATACATTTAATTTTAATCTTAAGATTAAAAGCTAGAACTTGAAATCCAAACAATAGACGCTACTATAGAGCCATTAAATTGAGTGGGCTTAAGCCCATAGCCAAAATGTTTAACAGAGGGGTTGTGGGACTACACCCTCACCTTTAATAAACACGAAAATATATTAAAATTATATGAATACCARAATTTTCAATGAAGAAATACGATTTAAATACAATTGATACTTCATTTTAGATGGCTTGTGAGGCTGAAGTGTGGGCTAGCCCACCCAAGCCCCCCTCACTATTTACGTCTATGATCCAAACATTTCTTCCACATATATTTTAAGTGTATAAACTTCATACTCTCCCCCAGTAGGACTTGAAACCATTATTAATAGTTCAATACCTATATGGAATATCTACCAGTTAAACCGTACAAAACCAAAATCGATATCTAAAATGATATCGGAATCGAATAAAATAAGCAAGTAGGTACCGATATTCGAAACCAACAATTTAAAAAATATAAATATCAAAAATACAATATTATAGGTACTTTGATAAGCGATATGGTTATGATATTCATGAGGTACATTTTATGGACATTCAAAACGCTATGCAAGTATACTTAGTAATTATAGTTTCCTAGCTAGTTTCGAACTCTGATATGAATGAGTATAATTATTAAGCATATAAAGACTATAACTAAACAAGCAATTATATTTTTATCAATAATTAATGAAAGGTTATAGGATCATAGACATAATATTTTGTATTTGGTTAGGACAGTGTTTCCCAACCTTTTTTTACTCAACGCCCCTTTTAGATTTTAAAAATCTTACACCCCCCCGCCCCCAATCAATTTTTTAAAATGACAAACGTTTTATTTTTTAATAAGSTATTTAATTTAAGACAAAATATCATTTAACAWTTTAACRCTACAATTTAGTTAATTTTAATTTTAAATTTAAAACCTAACCTAACGTCAAGTACCTGTCAAGATAATTATTTTGATATTTTTTAAATGTCTATAAATATTATACCTACATAATTCTGTGGATTACATTAGGTATTTTATTCTACGCAGTTATACATTTCATTACAATCAGTTATAAACAAAAAAAATTTAAATGATAGATGAGCACCCCCTCATAAAAACGCCCCCTTCAAAATAAAAAATGCCCACGTTTGGAGTCACTGGGTTAGGTATCTACCTATCTTAATATTCAGAGCGAATAGCTTAAATTAGTTRAATTATACTATATTAGTATTACATAATATAATAAGTTATGGAGGGGCTCAACAAATTTAATTTTAGATTGTGGTCTGCCCACATCAAACCCACACATGCCTCATTGGCAATCTTAGCATTGCCTCTTATGACTTATTGTACATAAACATAATATTTAATGTATACATGTAGGTAGTTATTATTATTTTTAGTGAATTCTGTTRTGTACTTGGAGATATATTGTTAAAAAACAATGTACCTACCTAGTTTTCTGGTATYGTAATAATTTTATTTGCACATTTTTCATGGACCAAGAAGAAGAAGAAACATCTCAAACAACAACATACAATGTWGCAGCTTCCAAGAGGTTAATATGTTTACTACCAATTTTAAAAATATGAATAATTTTTTTGAATTTTGTGATTTATGTTAGTCACATGTTGAGCAATGCACATGTGTCAAATGGTCATTCTTCTCAGCAGAATCAAAAATCAGTAATTATCGACTCACGTGTGCTCAAACATTATGGCCGAAGGATGAAATTGAACTGCAGGCATGGGTATAATATTTTAATACTTCAGGACGGAAAAGTGTCTAGTTCTGATGACGACATAGACAGTCATTGTGTGATGGAATTTACATCAATGTTTCCTGGTCATGTCCGTATTAGAGGAGTTGAAGCCAATTTGTTTTTAGCTATGAATAAAGATGGACTTCTTTATGGAGAAGTGAGAATTGTATCTAATAATTTTTTTCAAGTTTAAAATTTATTTATTTTCATTAATTCTTAGGCCGATCCTAACAACAGTTCAACAATATTCATTGAACAACCAGAAGGTCCTTACAGTGCATACCTATCTTATAAATATCAACGAAAAAAATGGTATGTGGCTATAAAAAAAAATGGTAAAATAAAATTAGGCCCAACAACTAAAAGAGGACAACATGCTACACATTTTTTAACAATTGTTGTATAGGTAAAATTCATCATACATTCTTTAATTTTTATTTAAATACAATTTCAAAATTATTGTCAAATAAAATATATCAATAGGTACTTAATAATCCAAGGGTGGCCAATTTGCGGCTCGTGTCTTATTTAAAAAAACCCACCATTTACTTATTGTCAATAAAATACAATATCATTATAAAAATAATAAAATGTATTTTTTAACATTTTGGCTCTTTATATCATTTTATTTGGTCCATGTGGCTTGTAGGCGTATAAATGTTGGCCACCCCGGCTATAGTCTATACTCTATAGTAAGCATTAAATCTAGTTTTTATTTTTGAAATTCATGAAATTTGTTTTAAAGTAAAATTTTAGTTTTATTTAGCACACAATACAGATATAACATTATTTTATATATTTATAATATGAAAACAATATTAAATAAATAATATTATTATAATAGTTAATAGTTATTTATTGCGAAAAAGTTGAAGCTCTGTAAAGTCAAGGCTAGTATAACATTACTATTGTAAGTATTACTAAACTAGTCATTATTTTTGTGTATTAAGATTCTTCATTATGTCATTAAAATAAATAAATAAAGTTATTACTAAAATAGTAAAATTTGTATGGTATTATTTTTTCTGTATTTATATTACTGTTTGAAGAGAATTAGCTGTTTCCCTAGAAATCTTCATCCAGTTCTGTATATCTTCTACCAGCTACCACTAAACAATTAAATCTTAACTTGTGCCAGTATCAATGTATAGTTTTTACGTGTCAATCTTTCATGATGTGTAAATAGTAAAAACTGACTGCCGTCTTTTGAAACAGAGTATTATAATAGCCATCAGTATATTATGATAAAATAAGACATAAATATTAATTATAAATGTTTAWATATAATCTAGCTATAATTTAAAATAAAAACAATCATAATACATTTAAATTTAAAACTAAAGCAATAATYTAYTTTAAATAAGCACCTACATTTTAATCAAATTAGTTAAATACTGATGATGAGGTACATACTTTATTTTTAACAGCTTATGCTGTTTGTAAATATTTTATTATAAGGAATTACAAAAAAATAAATATACTATTTTCATAACAATATACTGATTACATAATATAAGCATGGGTGGAATGGGTGGAATGTATTATAAACTAAAAATAATTCAAAATATGTTTTATTTGTTTAACATAATTAAATAGAAACTTTTTGTCCATTTTATTTTTTTGTAAATTATTCTCATCGTGTAAATATGATATGATAAGAATAAGATAAAAATAAACTTTTTCAATAAATTATTAAATTTAACAAATAGTCTAGTACAACTGTATTTAAAAATAAAAATGTTAACTTAGATTTTATATGTTAAAATTAATATTGAGGGTAAATTAATAATTTTTAAAAACTGTTAAGTTGTGTATGGTGTTAAAGATTTGAAGTTAAAGTATATGATAAAGTTTTGTGTGTATTGTATTCATTGAAATTAAATTAATTTGCATTGTTTATGGCAGCAAATAAAATAAATAATTTATTTTTCATTTCTTTTTCACTCTTGGAGAAGTAGTCTGGAATACACTAGAAGCAGACATAAGATTTTCAATATATTGGCCAAGAACTTGATTTTCAGATCGTAGTTTTAAATTTTCTTCTTTTACACTATCTACACGTTGAGATAAATCTAAAAAATATATTTTATGTTTAATCAACTTTAATCATGTACTTATTTCAATTTTTCCTCTGCAATACAATTATATAAATAAAACATGTTTACCATCTAATGTGTTTTGTAGTTCTAAAACTTGTGTAATAAGTCTGGCTTTTTCTTCTAATTCATCAGGACTCATATCACGATCTAAACCTACAAAAACAAACAGTTATTTAGACTCGTAGTGTAGTTCTGGTAAAATATGAACAAATGGCAACTCTATAATGTACATAGAAAACTTACTATTTCTGCTTGGACTATTACTACCGTTCGTAAATGATGACTGTAATGAATCCATACTTTGATTGCGCACAATGACATCAGAACATTGAGATATGTCTTGGTCATCGTGGATAATGGCTGTGATCATAATTTAATATTAAAGTAAACGCCAACGCGGGACCAAAGCAGTAAATATTGTCAAATCTACTGTTCGAAACATACCTTGAGGGTCATCGTCCGCCAAAGGRATACTGTCTTCCGGCGACTTGTCTCTGTTTTCTTCCATCGTAGGTACGTATATGCACGTACACGTCTGGTGCCCTTACACTAATGCATCTGTTATCCAGGAGGCAAGGAATTAGACTAGAACTTGGAAGTGTGGACAAAATACAAATCAAATCAGTAAATACTAAATTACCAAAACATGAACAGTAACAATAAACATAATAAAATATAGCCAATATAGGCGAGTAATGCCTATTAGATATTTTATTAATATTTACATTTTTGTCGATAATCGCGGATTTCTAGATATCGTGCGATATTGATAAAAGAAAATGATATCATTCAGTGGTGGTAGTAGCACAGTCGTTGTTGCCAATACAACGAGAAAACAAAAACAAAATATTATTATTTTTGCGTTCTAAATCACAATGACATAATTATTTTCTACTGATGTAGTGCTGTTGCTACTTAGTACTTACTGTACGACGAAGAACAATAACATAGTTATAATAATAATAATTAATAAATAACRAAACCCGACTGCTTTAATAATAATAAATACTTCTAACTTGCATCAATATTTACTGTTCGTGTCATCTTATTTTTGGTTTCGTCTGTCTCTCTGTCAGTATCTTTTGGTGCGGTAGACCGTTCTCGCCGAAAACTCGGCGATCGACACGATCTACATATTATATTATTTATCACGCTAGATCTCAGGGTAAGTACCATATTTTGTTTTGGAATTATTGCTTGTTAAGACTCGTCAAGAATACAGCTAATATAGGTAATGTAAAATATATAGTAAGATATCCAGGCCGTTTGTCCCATTTCCGAAAATTTGGTGGGTCTGATAAACTATACCACTCACCACTTACCAATTATATCCAACGAGTTCTAAGATGGATGCCCTTGCAATCTGTGCTTATCTCTGAGTCACGTTGAGTAATTGAAGCTGATTTAACCAAATTGTTGTTTATTCAGCGTATACCGTCACAAATGTCATGGCTGTATTCGACGACATACAGCAGTACGATGAAGAGATTGCATGCACGTCTATGGATGAAGCATACCTAATGCATGTTCAAGACCCGGTGATAATCAGAGGAATTGGGAATCTTACTGTGTAAGTATAAATGTTCCGAGTCTAATAATGATAATTTATTGACATGATTATTCAAAAGTTTTTTGCACAATTCTATTAATTGCAGTTTTATAGGTACTTTTATTTATTTATTTCATCTTTAAAATAACTATCCCAAGTGATAAAAATTGTGTGTACATAGTTTATTTTATGTAGTTCAAACATTTTAAATTTACACTCTTTAACAACAGAAATATGATCATTATCTAAACCAGTAGCGTGACGAAGGACTATATTTGAGGCACGTGCCTCAGTTTGAGGGGTGGTGGGTGTCCTCGAAGATCATCTAATATGTTAAAAAAAGCATTATTATTTAAATGAATAAATATATTTTATCTTAAAAAAATGTTTTAATGTTTTTTGTGATGGTTCGAGTGGGTGGTTGGTCTGATATTATAACTGTGCCTCATAACTTAATGAAGTTCGCCACGCCACTGATCTAAACTGAGTACTAAACTAGTAAAGTTCAAATTTCGACAACATTTACTTAAAAATTTTCAAATTATTTTTTATCTATAAAATGTTCAATTCTTATAGCTAAGGATTAAAACTTTAAAACCAGGATTCTTAAAAATAATTCTTATTGTAAGTAATGAATCTTAAAAATATTTAAACCATTCTTTTTAACATACATTTTAAGTTCAAATATGGGCGTATTTAAACATTACAATATATCAATTTTAGTTTTTTTGTTGTAATCAAACAAAATATCATTTTTGGTACTTGAAACTTTTGAGTATATTATTGTACTTTTACACATAATGACACTTTCAAATGCAATTTTTTGTTAAAAATGAATTCAACCTTTTATTATAGTACTAATCCGTAATAGTAGAACAAATTATTTTAATCACAAAAATATCATATAATATTCTAAGTAATATTAAGCTGAGAGATCATGTTTGCTCAGAATCATTTTTCATTTATAATATTTTTAAATCATTGAACTCAAATTTAACACATCCTTTTTCTTTTTAAATTTCTACAAAACACATGAAGTTTTTATAATATATATTTTAATGGTGAAATATGAATTACATAGACAGTATTGTATATATACACGGTGATCAATTTTATGTATGAAACTCTTATTAATTATAATATTCAAGTGTCTTTGTTAAATATATCACCTTGTGTGGCTGTATCTATATAATATATATATATATATATAAGCAATTATTTTATTAGTAAATACATATCTATTTATATATTATAGTTTTGGACTGAGTAGCAGATTCCAATCAGAATTTCCAAGTGCGCTTGTATCACGTGTGGCTCCTGAAGAATTTGAAGAAACAATGGCACGAATCAATTCTGTTTTAAAGAAAAGTTTACCAATGAATGCTAAATGGTTGTTTTGTGGATGTATGTGTTGCTGCTGTACTCTTGGTTGTTCACTTTGGCCTGTTATTTGCCTTAGCAAACGGGTAACTACTCTTAATTTTATTAATATAATATTTTTAGTTTTATGTATTTATTTATCAAATTATTTTATTATGTCAATTAATAAACTTATTATTATTTCAGACTCAGCATAGTTTGAACAAATTACTCGATTGGGAAAATAATCATCTTTATAATAAAATTGGTTTGCATTGGAGATTAAACAAACAAAAAGTAGATACTTCTTCTATAACGGAATATGTAAGTTTTTAAAGTATGATATTTTTAATCWATATTTAACCYTTATAATTGATAGCTAAGTTATAAAATGTTGTACACATTWCCATTTCCAGACTAAAATGTAACCCTCCACCAATTTAATATACCAATAACATTTGTGTCGGTAATTGTTGTAAGAGTGTGGTACAATAATGTTCTTTTATGAACTAGAGTATAGTATTTAAACAAATTTATTTTATGTACACAGTGGTTGTTGTATATATTAAAGCAACCAAACAAACATGATTATTAATATGTATTTAAGTTTTAATGTATAACATCAGTAACACTCTTTAAACTTCTTGTATATTTGAAAWTTTTTTTYGTCAAATCCAGTGCTCCAAAAATAAGTATGAAAAGTGCAAATTATTTATTAAAAAAATTAATTTGCATGTATTTTACATGTTGGTAGAGTCAGGATTAATGTACTATATTCTATTCAGATTAAGATTGAACTGCTTTCTGGCATGTAGACCACACCGATGACCACTGCCTAAYCCCCCACCCCCTCCACCATCCATGCAATCACTATACATTTTATCATTAGTTGAAAATCAATCGGTTCTCACCATTCTCATTGCTGCCTCTGTGTATAGTGTWTATGCAAGCATTGTTGGGGTGGGACTTAACTGTCTTGTGTTAACAAAAGTTCATATTCACTTCTAAAATAACAATTTCTTGACAAATTATTTTCTTATTTTATTGTAAATCAAAAACRACTAATGAATAGTAAAATTAATTCTTTTAATAGCAATATCAAATAACTTATGAATACTTAATATAGGTTAACTTATACAGTGAAACCTGTAAATACCGTACACTCTCGGTTGCCGTAATTTTGTCGGTTATTTAGAGATGTTCTCTATTCAGAGGACAACTTTGAGAAATTAATAATTACATATTTATAACTTCAGTTACTTTAGCTTKTTTAGACCTTGATGCATAATAATTTAGTGTATCAAGACATTTTCTAATTCAACTGCATTGGAAATAATACATTTATGAACACGTTCATATGTAATGGAATAACAAACACAACTAAATACGAGTAGGAAATAGTAATTTAGGATACTTCTYAGAACATAAACTAGAAAAATGTTTTAATTGACGAGATAGTGGACAGATAAGATTAATTTAAAACTATAATAGATAAATTGATATTTATAAAGGCATTCCACGATTATTCTATATTKTAGAATTGTTGAAATCAAAGTTAAATTACCGTAACTCTGTAACAGTGTCCAATATTTAGGGATTTTCCTGTACAATAATAGTGAAATTGTCCCCGTTTCCAAAAAAATTTCCATTATTTGGAGGTGTCCGTTAAGGGAGGTTTCACTGTATATACTTGTAATACATTGCTGACAGATATCCTTTGTTCAGAATCTTTTTTTTWAAATGAAATTAACACAATAAACATTACAGTGACAAGGTGCACTCAACACCTACTGTACAGCAGAGCAATTATCTACTTTACTTATTTTTAACTATAAATTGACTTGAGTTTAATTGGATAATTTACAATGTGGATCTTTTACAAATAATTTTCAAACGTTTATTTAATTAAAATATATTTTTATTAAGTATTGCAGAAAAAATTTTACATTACAAGTAGTGTAAAATACTAAGAAATGTCTATTATCCCTACAAAAACTTTATTCTACTTTGAAATTTCACTTTTTTTTTTTTTTACAGGTACTTTTGGTGGAGTTTATTCCAAAAATACCAATTTATAAACCAGATTAGGTAAAATTGTACATTAAGATTTACATTTTTTTATTTCTATCAGTGTAAAAATAGGATATTGGTTAGTTATTAATTTGCATGGCACAATAAAATTAAACCAATAATCTTTTTACCAGGTAATATATAGAATTTGTAATGTACTCTTATCAATTTTAATTTTTGGAGTTATTTATCAGTCATCCAAACTTGCTCAATATCGTAAAATAAAATGGATTTATGACTATGTGAAACTAAATTAGTTGTATATATATTTCATTAATTTTTAAATGTATGATTCGATAATTCTTTCAACAAAGTTGAATGAAATAAAGATATAAGTTTATGTCTTTATACCTTTAATACTTAATTTAAAAATTATGATTTAATGTGATATCGATTTGTGTGATACCTGATTGGTACTTAATATCGAGAGTTATATGTTTATCTCGTTGCTAAAAAAATCTGACCTGTTTATTTATTTTTAAAGTGATTTTATAACTTTTAGACTTTAAAAATATAATTTTAAGTCAATTACCTACTTGAACAAAAATTAATATCAAGTTTAAAACTTAAACTTAGTACTTAAAAAATTAATATATATATATATATGTTTAAGTAAATTTTTCATGACAGCATCACATAAATTTGTATTTTTTATTTATTTTAAACTTTAGTTTATAAATGCAAGTAAACTTATTATTGTTCGGTTTTAACTGTATGAGATATATTAAGATTAACCTATATTTTTTTTTATATTAATTACGTATCCAACGTACATGCTTCCAAAGGATCAAGTATCTTAGTTCCAAGTGATTAATTTGTTTCATAAATACATATTTTAATGTTAATATGTGTATTATCTAATTGTTTGTAATTGTGGTGTAAATATTAATTTCAATAAATGTTGTTTGTAAACGAGCTTATACATATTATGATAGTTATTATTTATTGTTTTAAGTGTAATATTGTTTAACTTCTGAATAAAAGAAAAAAATAGATATAAATACTAGTGTTTCTTATTATACAAACTAGGCTGTATAGTATATTTAACAGGTGTAGTTATAATTAGACTGTAATAGAAAAGACTGACAAAAAGATTAAAATTATGCAGTTGGGTAATTCAGTGATGAATATTTAAATGACAAACCAGTCATGATTGTGACTTTAGTCATTGGATCTTGGACATACAGCAAGGAAATTTATAAATAAGATAACAAAGTAAAGTATTTTATTATTAAATCAATTTAGTGACACCATATGTTATTGTATAAACTAAAAATTGTTATTCTAGAATAGGTAAACGCCAAAAAAATTAAAATTCTAAACGTCATTGAGGTTCAAGACACAGGTGTGCTGTGAATTTTTTTGGCATAAAAGTCTGCTTGAAAGATCTTTGTTCTTCATATTAATATATATTACATTTTTACGCTTAGATTTTAATTAATTAATCTAAGTGTATTAAACCATCAACTTAGCTTTGCATTATATGTTGTCATAATGTAATATTGTGATAAAAGTATAAAATATGGAACTTATTATGAGTTGCCTTTTTACTTTCGTTTTTATATTATAATRTATTTAGAAATTCAAAAACACTACACTAATGTTAGGCTAAATATATTTGTTGATAACAGTGCCAAGTAGAAATTAAGTTCAGTTATAGGATTTAAATAAGATTATGACTAAAAATAATAATTCATTATATAAGTGTTTATTTAAATTCAAAATGAATAATTTAATAAAAATTGTGAAACATAACTTCAGAGAACATAATATAATAAATTCATAAAAAAAATTGTGTATAATACAACTAATAATGGCATATTGGCGTTTAGGCATACTATGGACAAAATTATGTAACCTAAAAATCAAAATAATTACAATTAACATTTTAATTGAAATATGAAAATGAATATAATAACAATATAAAAAAAATATCGGTATAACAAATTAAGCAAAGTTAATGAGTAAGAAATAAATAATAATAATACCCTGTTCGTTAAATAATTGAGCATTAAAGATTGATCATTTACATTTTGATTTCATATATGCTCATTAATATTTAGTTATCATACTGTATATAATTTTAACATCACATGTAATTACTTTACTAAATATATAAAATAAAAAAATAGGTATTAAAATTAATTAATTTGGTAAATATGTATATGTATTTTATTTTAATATCACAATATGCTTCTTATAAATCATCAGGTAGTTCGGTRACAAAATTTGATGGGAATTGACCTTTAGATCCATTACATTCCCCGTACAACCAATTTTCATTGATTCTTCTTAATACTTGAATTTGATCGCCTTCCTAAATAATAGTTGGAAATTAGTATTAAATGTTAAACATTAATGATAATATTTAATAGGAAATGTTTAGTGTACAATTATTCTTTATTACTTGTATACTTAGATCCTCCCAGCATTCTGGTTTGAATGCAAACACAGCTATTACTTTGCGGATTTCTTGGTTGGTTAGAGATTCTTTGGGTAACGGTTCAGTAACTTCAACATAACTAATGGGAAATATTCCAGTGTGGTCATTCAATGTTCCTTCTAACCATTCATCGTTAACACACCGTGTTATAAAAATTTCATCTCCTTTCTAAGATTATTATAAATATTTAAACAAATAAGAGTATTATTAAAATATAGATAGTTAAAGTATTACCTTAAAATCTAGATCATCTGCATGACCAGACAAGTAATCATATTGAGCAATACACTTCGACTGTGATTTTGATAGTTGAGTTTCCTAGAATATTAATAAATTATTATTATTATAGTTTATAACAAATTATAAATCTATAATTATGATACTAATACAGTAATACATTAATAATTATTAATATAACCGGAATACACTTTAGATTTGTGATCACTATCTGCATATTCCATCTAAGGTTTAAGATTAAAACATAGTTAATAATATAATATTAAATAACATATATAATTAAGTAGTGATTGCTATTTAATTAAATGTATTTAATATTAAAATGTGACAATTAAAATTAATAAGTTTTAAAAAATTATACTGAAAATTAATTTTGAACTGTAATGAGTTGCATAAAATAACATCTTTCTTAGTACAACAACTATTAAAAAACTGAACATTTTATCATAAGTAGAATGATTTAAAAATACTTTAAGTATTTATGTATTCATTCMAAGTAAAAGTTTGGCGCTCATGGTATTATATTATTAATATTTAAAAATAAATAAAAACAAAATATTGTGTTTAAAATAAAATGGATACAATCATTGATGAATGAAGTTTATTTACAACAATAATCAAATATTATCTTTTGATTTAATATATTGGACTTACCATCTCATTTGGTCTTGGAGGTAATTTAGGACCATTTAATAATACATTTAGGGCATCTGGTGGTAACATTGGTGGCGGTAATGAAGGTGGTGGTAATGAACTTTCAATTGAAAAACGATTTTTGAAATAATCCATATCTGCATTTGAACATAATAAATCAAAATCATCTTCAAAACCACTGCTTTCAGCTTGAGAACCTTTCCATGGCCCAAAATCACTGTTGAAGCTATCAACACTATTTCCATCACTACTAGATCTATAAATATAATTGTATTTGGTTAATATTCAATCATAGTTATTTTTTGCAATAAAATACAAACTTATGAGTAGATGTAGGAGATGTTTGAGGTGAACCAAAGTCTATAAGACAACCCACCATCTGAGAAGTACTTGAAGACTTAGGTATTTCATTGGGTTTTGCAACCCAAGAAGGTGTTGGGACAGTATGCTTCGTTTTAAATCCAATTAAAGATGACAAAMCAGATTTTCCCTAAAAATAAAGTAATTGTTAAACATGAGTGTAAAATATATTTTTTTATAAAAATGAGTACATCTAGTTTATTTAGGATAATGTAAAAAATGTTAAATGTTTCAATAAACAATAGTTGAGATGACACTCAATTGTTGTAAAACAAATATTCTATAATATTTGTTATTTCTAAATTGACTTATATCATATTTTAATAAAGGAAATTAAAGGTTTAGTTAGATAGGCAATTTTATTTAAGAAAAGGAAGATTCTACTACCTATTTATTATCTACTAATAGAGTAAAACTTTATACCTTCTGATTGATGATGATTTAAAATTTAATGAAAGACCTAACAACAAATTACAACATACTGTGTAAAAATAAAAGAATAAAATATTGTTTATGTATTACTTGGTGTTTAGGTGTTTGTGCAAATTTAGGGGGAGGTGGTCTAGGCGGAGGTTTCTTCTTGACAGGTTGTTGAAAACCATTGAGAGATTTTGACTGTTTCAAAGAAAGAACTTTTGCTAATCTTGATTGAGTTCGAACCAAATATTAATAAAAAAATAAACACAATGTTAAATATTTTATGATTATAAAAAACATACAAAGTACTTTTCAACTTACAAAGGCTTGTTCACTTTGGGAGGTGGGGGAGCGGGACGATTTGGCACCTTGGGGGCTGAAACACAAAAAATCTCTTCATTAAGATATCAAAAAACAAATGAAATAGACGAAAATAAAAACCACATACAGCTGTCGGAAGTGAAAGCAGTCCAATTGGCCATCTTGAAACGTTATGACTGCTTTATTTTTCGATAACCGAACAATCATAATATTTTACTTTGACAAGTAGCAGACATAGTTATCCACGGCCATACACGTTTAACGTCACGACCTTCGAGACTGATATTTTTTTTCAATCACTATCTGCCAACACATAACGAAAAAACGAATGTTTTGGTTAATGATTCATTATTATTATTACTATTATATAATATAATATATATATACAGTTGAAACGTAAAAAACTTGTATTGTCGTCTGAAATTATTAATAAAATTCTTATCTCTAATACAGCCAATCTGCCAATGAATAATAATATAATWATAACAATAATATATTTTTTTTGGAACGGCACAGTGTWGCGGTTTCATAAATTTAAAAAGCGCAAAATGTCGTATCGTGGTGGCTGCAGCTGTAGAGAGATTGTATAGCAAGATTAGATTTATTATTCCATGACCATTATTCCAGTGTCAATTGGAATAGAAGATTAAATAATTATTCAATCAGGTTTGGGGTTATGTTTGGAGCTCTTTCATTTCTTGTCTTCTTGAAGTGTTTCTGTAGTTACGATTTTCCTTTGAGTTTTAGGATTTTGTCAAATTCAAGATGAAAGCCAAAGGAGATGTAAGTATTTTCATATTTTTAGTTATTTATTTAGAATATTTAGTATATTGCCACAGATATTACACTTATAATACTTATGTTGAGTTATATCCAACTGATTTAATGATGAAGTATTCAWTATCACATGACATGTGGCACTAGAGTGAAATTAAACTTAATTGCGGATTGCATTATATTTAGTTATTTATATTTGTTTAAACTGTTTGTAGTTGAAAGAATATGAGGTTATCGGACGCAAATTGCCTACCGAGAAGGAAAAGACTACACCTTTATATAAGATGAGGATTTTCGCTCCAGATCGCATTGTTGCCAAATCTAGGTTTTGGTATTTCTTAAGACAACTTAAGAAGTTTAAAAAAAGCACAGGAGAAATTGTATCTTTGAAACAAGTATGTATTTCTATAATGATTGCTCTTGCTGAATGTATATAATTTACTTAATGCTATACATTTTTCTATAGGTTACTGATAAATCGCCAACCAAAATTAAGAACTTCGGAGTGTGGTTACGTTATGATTCAAGATCAGGTACACACAACATGTACCGTGAATACAGAGACACCACTGTTGCTAGTGCTGTCACTAAATGTTACAGAGATATGGGTGCTAGACATAGAGCCAGGGCTCATGCTATCCAGGTTGGTTTTTATTGTAATTAAATTTTAGATTTTAAACAATATTATTCAGTTCTAATTGAGATTTCAAATGAAATACTTAAACATATTAGTCCATTTTTTAGAAGCATACAGATTTCCATAAACTATATTATGCTATTTTTTAATTTAAATCAAAATGATTGTTTGTCAGTGAATTTAATAATTATTTTTCAATATATTTATTTTAATTTTTGCCCATTAGTTATTGAACTTGTTCTTCTGTTAATTAAATTCTTGAGAAAATACCTCTTATTAGTTTGTTAWTTTAATAAGTGTTATACATATATGCTGCCAAATTTTACTTTAAAATTTAAAAAATGGTAATGAATAACTTTAAATATAAATCTAGAAACCAGTATGAAAGATTGTCTTTTTGGATAAAAATCATTGAATTCCATTATTTTTAGTGCTTGGATTATGGTAGCATTGATTATAATATAATAGAATACTGATAAAACTAGCAGAATATGCTGTACATTTGTATTAATTAATAAGAATTTCAAATCTGATAAATKGTAGATTATAGGATACAAGTTGAACTCATTGTAATGGAAGTGGTTTTATTAAATTCAATATTAAAAAATTGCAAATTGAAGACTATTCTGAGCTAAGACATTGTGTCATACTCGAATAAATAAACAAATTAAACAACTTAATAAAAATTGAAAATATTTCTTGGTTTAAATAA